TCTAATCTCTGTACAATCTGGAGATCAATGGTGAGATTCCACCCAGACCGAAAACCTTTTCAATTTCATTGCATGTGTGGCTCTAGTGGAATCCTTTCTGCTTTTCACCAAAATGGTCTGGATATCTCTGGAGCAGTGTCTCTTCATTACTCAAACAGGAATGTGAGGTTTATGGGTGTGACGTGGAGAGACTGTGAGTTGGAATGTAGAGACATGACTTGGTCTTGAGACAGGAAAACCTCAACCAAGGGTAAAACAACAAGTGGCCAAACGGAGAGTTGATTTAGGTCCATGAACCTATACTGTCTTGGCCAGGCAGGCACTACAAAGATTAAGCTTGTCTTGTCATTCACCCTCAGAATGGAAGTGACTGGAGGGAATGCATACAGCAGATTTCTCCATCATGAGAGGAGAAAAGCATCCGTCATGGAACCTAGGCTGTGACCTGCACTGGAGCAGAATCTCTTGCACTGGCTGTTCAGATTGGTTGCAAAAAAGGTCTATTACCAGGTATCCCCAAATTTGGAAGATCTGGTGCAGAATATTTCTTCTTATTGACTACTCAGATGGTCTATGAAGTTCCTGCTGAGGGAATCCGCATTAGCGTTCCTCACTCCTGGAAGGTAAAAGGCTTTTTGTGAGATATTGTTCTTTATACAAAAGCTCAACAAATGGATCACTTCCTGGCACAGCTGATATGACCTTACACCTCCCTGGTTGTTCAGCTAAAACATAGCTATGGTATTGTCTGTGAAAACTTGAACCGCTCGATCCCTGATGGTCGATCTCAGGCCCAATGAATAGCTCAAAGCTCTAGCACATTTATATAGAGTGAAATCTCCTGAGGATTCCAAAGTGCTGACACTTGAAGTTGACCCAAATAAGCCCCCCAGTCTTTGGTGGACGTGTCTGTTACAACAGTTATTGTTGGTTCCAGCAGAAAAGGAATCCCTTTGCGTACGTTCTCAGGATCCAACCACCAATCCAGGGACTGAAGCAGTTGTGGAAGTATGCAAATCAGCATGTCCAGAGAACATCTGCTTGGAAGATGTACTGAGTGAAGCCAGGCCTGCAGACATCTGAGGTAAAACCTGGCATGCTGTCATACATATGGACAAGGCTGGATAGGGGAAGGTGACCTCCTCCTAGATTGAGATTCTGATGCAGATCTAGATGCTCTTGGAACAGTCCAAGATGCCCAATAAGGCCCAGGAGAGTATTCTAATCTCTGTACTGCCCATGGTGGTGGGTACCATACTGGAGATTCTTTGTAAGGATACTGTTCTTTTTCCCTGGTCCAGGTGTCCCTAGAGCATGACCTGTATGGAGAGCTGAAAGACCATGGAGGAAACATAGGTCTGTCATGGTCAGAGTCTGAAGAGGAGAAGATGTAGCTCTCCTAGTGAATGGAAGAGCAGCTCCAGATGGTGTTAGTGGAGGTTTTGGTACTGCCAATGCCTGGTGGGGTCCTAAAGGTTGGAAGGCAGAAGGCTAGAGCTGCTGTTGAGGGTTGCATGGAAGATGCAGGAAGAACCAAGGGGACAATGAAGCAAATGACATCGATGGTGCCAATGCACTCAAGGCTAATGCAGTCAGTGCCAGACGATGTAATATAAGAGAGTCTGGCAGAGAGAAACACAGAAGGTCCTTTGCTACAAGGAAAGCCTGTGCTATAGACAGCCCTGAAATTGGAGGCAAGCATTCCTTTGCCATACACAAGGTATGAGCACATGTGCTAGATCTTCACTTTCCCCTAGTTCTTTTCAAAAGCCAGGTGAAACAAACAGACCTTGTAGTGTGCCCTGAAAGTCAGCTATTCTGAGGTATTTCAGGCCAGGGGTAGAAGGACATTCAAGAACTCCAGGGCTATTATGGAGACTGCTCTGCCAGCAGCCCATTCTTTTGAGAGGGATGTAGCATCAGGGCCTCTGCAGTGAATCTCAGAGAGAAAGAGAATCTCTCAGGTAGACTAATGCAGGCCATTTAGGGCTTTACAAGTGAAAATGAACTCCTAGGATCAGATCCTCGGCTGATGTAAATTGTCATAGCTTTATTGACTTCAATGGAGACATGACAACCTACATCAACTTAGGATCTACCCCTAATACTTAACTCAACTTCCAGCTGAATCTCACCTGGTTTTCTATGGCTAAATGAGGATAGCACGCAGTAAAACCTTCTTATAATCATCATTTTCTTCACATAAGAGGAGTAAAATAATCTGCAATGCAACATACAAACATGCAAACTCTGGATTGCTTCACTATAAACAGATTTTCACTATATCCAACAGATTCCAGTCTGAATGTTACTGATGGATCAGAATCTCCAAAAGTCAAAATAAATGTTATAATCATCATTAACAAAGTTCATTTTCGTTCTTTTATTATGCACCACTTCCTTCTTTGCCACACTCTTTGTCAAGTTTTGTATCTGCTGCTGGATTGATGGAAATCTTCTCATCAAAACTATTATCCTGTGAATAGTAAGTATTATAGCCAATATTTATAAATGTAAGTGCTCCTTTGTCTATTTTCTTTGAGTTTCCCTTTTGACTGTGAATGCTAAAGAGGCAGTTGATTTTGTATGCCAAGATGTACTCGAACCTGTGAAGATGCACAAAAGCCTAGAGGAATGCCTTGATGTAATAATAATCCTTGCAAGAGTCCTAGGATTCTTTTTCATGTTCATGTATATTATTAAGAATTTTTTGTAGCAGAACAAATCACACAATGCAAGAATGAATATTATATGGATATACTAGTTAATATTTTTAAAATGACAATGAACAAGATAACAATCAAAACATTATAGTTAGAAGATTATTGGGATAAAAAGAATTAAGTAAGGTGGTTCACAATAGATTCCAAATAATCTAAACATAAAAAAATAAAAATCTCAAGCACCATAAATGATTATTGGCAGCAGTTAGACCTAAAGTACTCAGAACGATATGGCCATTTCTTGATACATTTGTCAATGTATTCTTTTCTGTTCACTGAAGCTTTTTCATGTCTGACTTCAAGGCAACCAGTATTGTGCCAAGTACTTAATTCTAACACAGTGAGATCTTTCCCATTCTGTAATATCATTTTTAAAGCAATTAGGATAAGATTATCTACAGAACTTTTCAATGGTTTGTCCTTATTGATGCTAAGAATAGATAATTTAAAATTAATCAGTTTACTAGACAGAGAATCAAGAATGTTAGTTATTTCATTTATGAAATACCATAGCCTGTAACCATAAATTGTGGGGGCCAGTCATAAAAGTTATAAGAGCATACCTGACTCATCTTTTTCATGCCCTGCACCAATCTTCACATTTTGCTTTTGATAATCTTACTGGGGTCCAAGTACAAAGTGAAATAAATGCAATCATTGCTATAAAATTGGAAGCCTTTCTTAAATTATATGAAATATAATCCCTCCAGCTTTGTGTCAAATCTGTTTTCAAATCTGTTTTCAAATCTACTTCACAGACTTTGTCACTGTTCATTCACCCAGATTTTCTGCTCTTGAAGAGTTTATGAAGTCTACATAAAGAGCCAAGCACTCAATTGTTGTCTTATAAAATTGCAGGAGCTTATTATCTAAGGATTTAGAACTTATTTTTGATTAACTTTTCAGGTTGTGTTCAAATCCTGAGCTCCCTCAGAAACTGGTTGTTAGAGATCAGGACATTTTGGCAAACTAGAGTAAAAGAGAGAAAACATTCTGGAGGACTGTGAAAAATGTGTAAAACCTCACAAAGTCCCAATGAAGCACGGTATTATGATCCCCATTTTAAAAATAAGGAAACTGAAGCACCAAAAGTTAAGTGAATTGTCCAAGATCACTCAGCAAGTCAGTGGCAAAATCTCAGAATAGAACCCTTATCTTCTGACTCTCAGACCTGTGCTTTAGCTATTATGCATGTTTCTTTCCTGTTTGTACTTGAATAAATTCACTAGCACTTGTCCACAGAATTGATGATCATATTAAATTACCTTTGCAGTTGAGGCACAAGACAAGGAATCAGAAAATCTGGGTTCTATTTCCAGAATTACCAAAGACTTCATGCATGATCTTTGGCAAGTCACTCAGGGCCTGATTTTCAGAAGTGAAGAGTATGTACAACTCCAATTGCTCAGCCCGTCTGAAAAATCTGGCCTGCAGCATCTCTGTAAACCATATTCTTCACCTATAAAAATGGGGAAATTTCCACCTAACTTTTCTTCCAGACTCGATCAAGTTTCCGTTAGCTTTTTTTAAACAAATTATTTGAAGGATAAATTTCAGAATAATTTTGTTAATTCAGACAAATCTGTGCATATCTCTGATAAGGAAACTGAAAAATTATCATTCTTACTAAGTTACACAGGGGAACATTCCTGCATATGACTGTATATCTCTTTTCTAAAAAGTTACACATTTCAGAGCCCAAATGATAGCCTTCTCCAAAAGTGCAGAAGATTTTTTGAAAATCAAATTATTTTTAATAGCTGCAATATATTCTAGTGGCTTTCGAGAAATAAGAAAGCTGAAAAAGTATCTGCCCCTGCCTGAAAAATATGTTCATGATGAAAAATGTTTCAGGGATCTGCTCCTTTCAGGGGGAACTGAGCTTGCCTATATAGGAAATGACATAGAACTAAAAAATGTAAAGCTGTCAGAAACATACTTTATTTCCTCTCCTGAAATAGAATTGTATAAAAGTATAAAAACTAATTTGCTGCTTTGACTACATCCGGTCACTTTAAGCTCCCTTGCTAACATATTTAACAGTGTTTTGCTTTATATTTAGTTTTCTCCACCAGAATGAATCTAACTTTACTTACAAGTCATTTAGAATGAGCCACCACATTCCTTCATGCCCTGATTAAGACACTGTTCTGTAGCAGTAGAAATCATTTGGATGCGTACATGTCTGCTATCAGCATTACATAGAACTTCATGTTCTTGGCCAGTATAATGTTGCAAATAAACTAGCAGAAAATCATTGGTACCTCTAAGACTTACCCTTTGATGTGCAGCGGGGGGTGTTGTAGGGCTAATCAATTCTTGATTTTCCATGAGATTTCCATAATCTGCCATGCTACCTTTGAGAGGCAGAGGAGGAGGAATGTCTGCCATTTCCAAACTAGAGATACCATTCAGCTCCAGATCTGTAAAAATTAACATTTAAGTCTCTGGATCATTTAAATCAATCTTAAGATGCAGAATGTTCCTTCAGGCATTAATGCTATGATAGAGATAGTGCCCATGCATCCATTTGCCCACTCTTCATTTCATAGACTGTATAATTATTTGCTGCTCATGGAACAATAGCTTTTAAATTAAAAAAAGAAACTGCTGGAATCATGAAAGTAAGGATCACTATGTCAGGGTAGGTCAACTTTTAAGTGTACAGTCTGTATCAACACTGACAAAGTCTCTCACTGTTTAATAAAAAAGGAAATTGTACAACATTGTCACTTGTCTCAGATTTCACTCGCTGATATTCACAGATCATTTAAAACAAATAAAATTGTCTTAGCTGTAACCTCTGTGTCTATGCGTTGTACAATATTGAAAATGTGATGTGAGTAATTTTCCAAGGTATACACAGAATATAACAGAGCAGAGCTTTATTTACTTTTCTACTTTCAGAAATTTAGACTTTTAAAAATTAAATGCACTAAAGAAATCCATAATTAACCACAAATCTCTATTGAAAACTTTCAAAATCTAGAGCACCATAAGAATGGCCATACTGGGTCAGACCAAATGTCCATCTAGCCCAGTATCCTATATTAGTCATTAGTTGTTTAAATAACTAACGTTATAAACCAAGAGAATGTACAACAGATTTTTTTTTAATTTACTCACAGAAGGTAGGGAACAATCATTAACAGGGTGAAATTTAGCCCAGTGAAGAAGATCAGAACTAGGCCTATGCACCACTTAACTTCTAATTAAGTCTTGTTTTGAAGGCCTAAGTGGTGTATAGGTCTTGTGCTGGTCCTCCTCACAGGGGTAAATTTCACCCACAGGAACATATTCAGCCATTCTTCCACAGGCAAATCTTCCACTGGTTTAAGCAAGAGCTCTGCCAGAGAGGAATGAGCACTGATAAGGCCCTTCTTATAATACATCATTTTGTTTATAAATTGGGGAAACCGTTGTCACTTAGAGGTGGATTTTTTTTTTTAGTAGATGGAGGATTTGTTAACACTGATTCTTTTTTAATGCAGAGTATTTGGCAATATCTTATATTGTGTGTCTTTTCTGGTTTTCCCAAATGGCCTACCTTACTATTTTCTTCACTAGTACAACTTTAGCTTCAAGACAGTTGTATTGATTTATCACTGAAATCTCTTTGTCATTTCATCTCTATTTAGTCCATTCAGACTACATCAGCTACATCCATCACTTTCAAATTCTTCCAATGGCCTCCTCAACTTGAAACTTGTCATTTCCTTCAAGGACCTGAGCAATTCTATGGCTGCCTGCTTCACTGTTCTCATTTCTGTCTACTTCCTCCTCAATGAATCCTGCCTCACTTCTCCCATTGTTTCCTTTTCTCTGGTTCTCATCCTTCCTTTCATTCTGTTCCCTACACTTGGAACTCCCTCCCAGATCCAAAAGTAGCAGGCACCCCCACCACCTCTTCTTACAAACCCCTCAAAACCGACTTATTCTTAAACACATCATCAGAATATAGCATTACCAAAAAAAAATAATGCTTCAAACAGGCTTCTCAGATTGCCCAGGTCTTGTGTGTCTATTTAGAGATTTAAGCTCCTGACGGGAAAGACTGTCTCTTCATGATAAAAATCAAGTTCCATAACATTCATATGCCATGTGTCTTCTTAACAACAAAATTTAATACAATACAGTAGTAATAAATTAAATAAAATGATACTTCCACAGTGATTTAATGGAACATTTGGAGAACCTTGGCAGAAGTAAGATTTGTGTGTGTATGCAGTTTTGATAAGTGTCTGGTTTTTTTTTTTTTTTGGTTGATGTTCTTCCATATTTAACTTAAACTAGCTACATGCACATGTTTAACCCTAGGTTAACCTGTAGACTTAACCCTAACTGTAGTTTTTGAGAGGAACATTTAAATGCCTTCACATTTAATCATATCATTCCAGAGAGAGTTGAAGAGTATTTCATTATGTCTAAATAAACATCTTAAAGTAGGAGATTTATGCCTCTTTAATAGAGAAATATAAGTGTACTGAAGACTTCCCCTAGGTATATTAAATGATAGTATAGTACATATTAAATATTAAATCATTGTATGCTATTGTGGATAAACCACTAAAAACTACCAAGAAGATAAAAGGTCAAAATTTTGATGTCAGTTAGAATGGTGAAATTCTAGTGACTATAACAGAACTCAACCATTTGCAGAATTTTACTTGTAAAATGTAAATGTACACAACTGTAATCCCTGAGTTAGGGAGACAAAGCTAACATATTCATACAATTTAAGTTTAAGAAACACTTTGCTTAATGAAGCACACACATATTTTTACTTAGATTAACATAAAAATAGCCTGGTTTATAATTTCATAGCTGTCATAGAAGAGCTAATTCTTTAAGGTGAGGAAAATGATCACATTTTCTATTTAATACCAAATTTACTTTGATTAGAAAATTAAACTTTTGAGTAAACAGAGCACAAATGTAGCCCTCAGTAAAATAGATGCCTTTGATGTTTACATTATTTTGAGTAGCTATAATTGTATTTCAAACTCTTAATTTATTTGATTTTAATTTCTGGTCAAAGGAAATTATACAGGAATTTCTGGTAAAGCATTTTAGTGTATTTGCTAAGAGTATGAGAAGACCTGGCTCTCTATTTCTTTAGGGCCAAATCTATTTGTCCAGGCTCAGCCTGTGAATCTCAGATAGGCACTGGGGAGATCCATGGAAGAGGTAGAAAAGGAATCATTTCCTCAGACAAAGGAGCAGCAGAGGAGATGACCTGTGGAGACACTACTTCATTTTAATAGATGGACTAGCCTTGACAATTCCTAGTGGCCCCCAACCATGGCTGGAACTGCATAATAGTAGATTTTATTCCAGCCACATCCATGCTCCTCTTCCAAGTAACTCTGTCCCCCTGTAGTACCTGAGTTACCACTGTGTAGGAGGTATGCACTTCTTACCTGGCCTCCCCAAAGCCTGGATCCCCCAGTTCCATTGCACACTTACAGAGAAGGAGCAGGATACGTCCCAAAGTGAAGGACTTTGATATATTCAGTATTTGTAACACACTCTATTTTTCAATTAAAATCAAAGTTCAAATTTAGCCATGGACCAAGTCCAGCACTTCACTTAGCAGACCATTAACATACATAAAATAAGTCTCTGGCCTGAATGGGCAGTCACAAAAGTCACCTTACTGCAGCAAAAAGTTATTTAAACAAAACCACATAATTTCACTGCTATGATTTGGGGAGGAACTGTTTGCCTCAATATTGTATGTCTATTTGTGATCTCCTGAAGACAATGTACCCCCTACCAACCTCCTCTTGGAACCCAAAAGCCTGAATTCATCTTGATTTCTGAACATTTAAGTGTAAATAAGTCTAATAATTTATTTTTGCTACAACTGTATAGGGTACTTTAACAGAGATGACAATCATCCAATGTTGTCTGTATATCCCTTAACTTTATTTACTATATGCCATTAGGAACAATTCTCCACTGGCAGGGATCAACTAGATGACTTAAGTCTTTTTCATCTCTACCTTCTTTGATTCTGTGGAGCAGATTATCAAATTGTAGTTTTCATTCTCCGAGATAGTCAAGAAGCAAGCACTATTCTCAGTGCTCAATATAAGATTAACTCTTTTTAGCCAGCTTGCTTCACAAAAATTATCTATTATCCTGGAATTCTTCAAAAATGTTAGAGCTATAATTCTTTGAACGATTAAGGTCAAGGCTCTGTGTACTCTGTAGCAAGCTGGACCTAAATAATGGAGCAAGGTCCTAGAGTCTGCAGCAATCTGGTAGAAACATTCTCAAAACTATGTAATGACCTCCATTTTAAAAATGTATCTGAAGCTTTCATTAAATATGAAAATGAATATATAATTAGCACAGTAGCCCCTGTGAAATGTAATTCAGAATATGCTATGTTTCCAAATTTTCAGTTTTCAATATGCTAGATTGTCATTTTTGGATTTCAGAGCTGAAAAATAATGTATACCTGTCAGAATTATTGTTTCAGGCTGGAAACTCAGGAAGGCAACATTTGATTTACACTTGGTTCACCTTTTTGAGGTTATCTTTCCAACCAGGAGGTCTAGAAACAATTAAAAAACCCAAACAAACAAGCCTCCCTCTCCCCCAGATTCTATAACACACTTCTGCTACACACAGTGAATTCTGTTGATACAGTTATGTGGAATACAGAAGTCTCGGATTATGGTTTATAAATTTGCTGTGTGTCAACATTCTTTCCAATAAGTTTTGCTTATTTAAAAATAAAGCACTTTGAAATATCAAAGGAAATAAATAAAGCAAACGTGAACTTGCCAGATCTGTAATTCTTGCTATCTGTAATAGAAGTTCGGCACATGCACAAAAAAGGACTTATTTTCTAAATGTTTCTTTACTAGTTTAGTGCCCAGTGAGATTTTTAGCTAAGTGTCAACAACACGTCACTTTGCCAAGGCGATTTGTGGAAGCTGACTTTGTACACAAAATGGGAGTTATACTCAGGGCAGCTCCAGGCACCAGTACAGCAAGCGTGTGCTTGGGGTGGCAAGCCGCGGGGGGCGGCCTGCCGGTCGCTGTGAGGGCGGCAGGCAGGCGGCTTTCGGCGGCATGCCTGCGGGAGGTCCGCCGGTCCTGCGGCTTCGGTGGCGGGGACGCCGATGGCGCGGCACCGGCGAACCTCCTGCAGGCATGCCGCCAAATCCGCATGACCAGTGGACCGCCCGCAGGCGCGCCGCCTAAAGCCGCCTGCCTGCCGTGCTTGGGGCGGCAAAAAACATAGAGCCGCCCCTGGTTATACTCCATCCAGTTATATAATAGGAGTTCTTGAAGACTGAAGCCAAGGTATGAAAGGTTACAGAAGAATTCACTGAGAGATGCAGGGAAAAGACAAGCTATTCTATATCTTGTAGCTACTACACACAAAAGGAAAGTCCACCTCAGGTACTAACTTCAGTAGCTGGAGACTGTTCCCTCAACCTTTGTACTCTACAGAAGCCAGCACAGCATGAATCTTTAGGCACTTATAAAAGAACAACATTTTAAAAAAATGACTCTGTGAAAAGGAGCACAAAACTTATTTCTTTAAGCAATTTTTCTTGTTTTAGTAAAAAGTCAAAAATAGTTTTTGTCTCTTGACAAACACAAGAGGTGTACCATAGCACAGGCCTAAGGAGTAAATTCCTTACTATAGCATGTATCTGCAAGCTACATCTTATGGCCAGTGGCAGTAAAACTCAGAGTGAGAACTCGGAGCATGCTGGTGAGAATCTTTGGGAACAGATGTTGATGAAATATATGACTGTAACACTTATAAATCACCTGAAATGCTTTGCAGGATTAAGGCCTGCCTGTGTGTGTGTTAAAAAAAGTGGTATGTTTCCTATGTATAGAGAGGTAGAGAGGATGGTATTAAATGAAAGTAACCAAAACTCCAGTCACTGAACTTTTTACACCAAATCTCTAAAGAGATGTGACAAATACAGTCACGAGAGAGAGAGAGTCAGTTAACAATATTCCCATTATTTTAAATTAATTCTGATATTAAAACATGTGTAAGAAATGTAAACATGATCAAGTGATCAGGTCACAGAAATCATCACCTGTAATAATATAGCTAAAACAACCATATCTCTGTTAACTCCCCAAAATGCACTTATACCTCATGATGTGAATGTACACATTGGATTATCCTCATGTTGATCTGACCTAAGTGATTCAGTTGATTCTGAAACATTTCAGAGTAAGGGGGCTGAACTGTAATTCATTCTGCACAAAATATTTTAGGAAAACAAAGTTTCATTTAAAAAAAAAACTTACTGGACTGTAAATTGAAAGGAAGTTTGGTCCTTGGAGTGATTGGAGGTGGTGTTGACTGAGAAGCTGGAGATGACGGAGAGACAGAAAAACGTCTTTCACTTGCAATGACATTGATAACTTGGCTCTTTGGTCTTTGTGGTCTCAGTGGACTGATCTGCATTAGGACAAAAACATAAAAATGTGATGGTTTCACCATAATGTGTCACATAGCCTGAGCAGAAACACACATTATTACAGCACAGCAGGTTACATTGTAAAGAAAAGCACTTCTTATTGAGCTGTTGATCTTGTGATAAGTAAGACATTTCTCTAGATCTAGACTGTAATATTGCAATGATAAGATACATGTTTTAGATTTAATGAGAATTGTACTGAGGAAAATCATGGGTTTCCCCTTTCCTGCACAGGTTTTTATAAACTAGAGCATGTAGTCTGGCAACTTCCAGCATAGTAAAAAATCTGTTATAAACTAAAGAACACTTAAAAATCAAAAGTCAGGGATGCAGAATTGGTTGTTAAACATATTGCCTTTTCCTCACTCCAGCAGGCACACATGTATTGTTTTATTTAATGTATACTTTTAAAATGAAATTACAGTAAAAAAAAAATAGCCTGAAATCCTCAATGCTAGCAACAAATGCACTGAGACAGCCTAGTTGCCATCATGAAGCATAGTTAAGCTGTTTCATGCAAATATTTTTTTCTTTGAAAATGTTTCTTCCATCCATCCACTGTCTTAGATGTTACATTAGTCCTCTTTCCCCCAAACCCCTCAAAATCACTCAAAATTGAATGCATCCAGGGTGTTCATATATACACAGTAGCCCCAGACTGATACATTGGCATACTTCCATAACCTACAAATCTCTCCTTAAAACCTGTGTCTTCCAGGATGTAGGGATTCCCTCAAGACCTTTTCCACTCAGCTTATCCAGAACAACTTGTCCAGTTCTGGAAACACAGTTCTCTGGGATCCAAAAGCTGAGTTGATTAGCCTCAAATGCAGGCTTGTGGATGCAGAGTAAATCACAGCTCCAAAATTACACAGAAACCCTCTCCCTTTGCATACATTTACACATTTCATGGCATTTACTACACATTACATCACATATTTTTGAATTCGCTTGGTTATTTTGCAGGAAACAATCCCTATGCATAGGGACGTACCAAATTCAAGGCCATGAAAAACACGTCACGGACCGTGAAATCTGGTCTCCCCCACTGAAATCTAGTCTTTTGTATGCTTTTACCTTACGCTATACAGATTTCATGGGGGACACCAGTGTTTCTCAAATTGGGGGTCCTGGCCCAAAAAGGAGTTGCAGGGGGGTCACAAGGTTATTTTAGGGGGATTGCAGTATTGCCACCCTTACTTCTGCACTGCCTTCAGAGCTGGGTGGCCAGAGAATGGCAGCTGTTGGGTGGGCGCCCAGCTCTGAAGACAGCACCCTGCCAACAGCAGCGCAGAAGTAAGGGTGGCAATACCATACTATGCCACCCTTACTTCTGCGCTGCTGCTGCTGGCAGTGGCTCTGCCTTCAGAGTTGGGCTCCCAGCCAGCAGCCGCTACTCTGAAGGCAGCACCACCACTGGCAGCAGCGCAGAAGTAAGGACAGCAGTACTGCAACCTCCCCAACTCCTTTTTGGATCAGGACCCCTACAATTACAACACTGACATTTCAGATTTAAATAGCTGAAATAATGAAATTTATGATTTTTAAAATCCTATGACTGAAATTGACCAAAATGGACTGTGAATTTCATAGGGCCCTACTTATATAGCATGCTCTGTCTATGCATTGTCCACATTTGACCTATTCCTTAGCTGATCTCTACATTCCTAACTTATCTTGTCCATTGTTATTCTTCTTCAAAGCAAATGGTTACCTGGGAGCTCTCCCTCTTAGCTTGCTCAGACATTCTGTCTTTTTCAACCTCATGATCTATTTACCTCTGCGATGGGGTGGACTAGGCCCAGGGGCTCCCTGCTGGAGGTCTCAGGGTCCCACCACACCCGTCCCAGAGAGGAGCAGAAAAGAAGTCCTCCAAGCAGCCTCAAGTGGTTGTGGGGAAGTAGCCAATGAGGGAGGCTGCAGGGAGCAGCCAATCAGGGCCCAGCAGGCTCACACAAAAAGAGCTGCAGGGCTGGAGTCATCAGTTGCTGCCTGGAGCTGGAGGAGAGATGACTGTGTTCCTGGCTGGCTGGCTGAAAGAGCAGCAGGACCATGGACAGCTCAGTGTTGGCAGGGACTGGGGGAGCAAGAGAGCGCTCCTGGCTGGCTGCTGGGGCTGAGTAAGGACTGAGCCCAGGTTAGGCCACAGGAAGACAGTGTCTCCAGGGAGGAAGCCCTGGGGGTACAGCTCCATAGCAGGGCTGGGACATGTCAAAGACTCTATAGCCCGGAAGAGGTTTGTTCTGTTTCACATACAGACAGTGTGTGAAACTTGGCCAGAAGCTGAGTCACTGAAAACCTATCTGAGAAACCCAACAATAAGGGTCACCACAAATTGAGAGACTGCAGTGTGACAGACCCCGACCAGTGGGGTACAGGAGTCTGGTAGAGGGCAAATATACTGGTCACTGGATGAGTTGTTTTCTGTTCCCTGAGTGACCAGAGAAGGGGCTGCACTAGAGTAATCAGGGACCTGCTAGAACCAGTTAAGGCAGGCAGATTAATTAGGACACCTGGAGCCAATTAAGAAGAAGCTGCTAGAATCAATTAAGGCAGGCTAATTAGGGCACCTGGGTTTTAAAAGGAGCTCACTTCAGTTTGTAGTGCGAGAGTGTGAGGAGCTGGGAGCAAGAGGCGCAAGGAGCTGAGAGTGAGAGGGTGTGCTGCTGGAGGACTGAGGAGCACAAGCGTTATCAGACACCAGGAGGAAGGTCCTGTGGTGAGAATAAGGAAGGTGTTTGGAGGAGGCCATGGGGAAGTAGCCCAGGGAATTGTAGCTGTCATGCAGCTGTTACAGGAGGCACTATAGACAGCTGCAGTCCACAGGGCCCTGGGCTGGAACCCGGAGTAGAGGGCGGGCCCGGGTTCCCCCCAAACCTCCCAATTGACCTGGACTGTGGGTTCTTCCAGAGGGGAAGGTCTCTGGGCTGTTCCCCAACCCACATGGTGAATCTCTGAGGCAAGAAAATCCACCAATAAGCGCAGGACCCACCAAGATAGAGGAGGAACTTTGTCACAGCAGGCACATGCACTCAACCAGCGTGTGCTCTTGAGAGGTGGGTGCCACCCTATTAGGATCTCCCTAATTCTTTCTTTCAAGGAATGAGGCCTCCTTCCAGGTGTTAATTACTCCTGTCAGGTCAGGCCTCAGCTGCAAAGGACTATCTTGTTCTTAGACTCATAGACTTTAAGGTCAGAAGGGACCATCGTGATCATCTAGTCCAGTGGTTCTCAAACTGCGGGTTGGGACCCCAAAGTGAGTAGTGACCCCATTTTAATGGGGTTGCCAGGGGTGGCATTAGACTTGCTGGGGTGGAAGCCGAAGCCCGAGCTCCACCGCCCAGGGTTGAAGCCAAAGCCCAAGGGCTTCAGCCCTGGGTGGTGGGGCACAGGTTACAGGCTGGAGCCCTTGGGCTTTGGCACCCCCATCCGAGGTGGTGGGGCTCTGGCTTTGGCAGGGCTCAGGCAGGCTCAGGTCCCCCCTCCTGGGTTCATGTAGTAATTTTTGTTGTCAGAAGGGGGTCGCGATGCAATGAAGTTTGAGAACCCCTGATCTAGTCTGACCTCCTGTCATAATTGCAGGCCACAGAACCTCACTCATCCATTCCTGTAATAGACCCATAACCTCTGGCTGAGTTACTGATGTCCTCAAATTATGGTTTAGAGACTTCTTGCCAATAATCTCCCTTATCTGAACTGTTGTCTCAAATTTTATCTTGGTCTTTTTTGCCTATCTGAGGGTCTGAGAATAGAGCAAACAATCTCATATGTCAGTAATGTTATTCATTTGAGCTCTTAGCTCATGTCTATGTAAGAAAGCCACACATGTTTAACTAAAAGCATGATTTAAACTGATTTAGTTAAAACAGTGGGACAGTGTTGTTGACACTCTTATTTCACTATAACAGTGGCCTATTTTTGCAATATGGCCTACTTATCCTCTTTCTCTGACTGGATCTTGATGGTAGCTACCACCTTCTTCCCCATCGTTTCAAACATGTCAGAGGGGGAGAATCTCTCCAGCTTCTCTTGTTCAAGTTTTTCATGATCCAAAGCCAAGCTTCCCTTCTTTGAGGGGTGATGAAATTCATGAAAGGAAATGATGTCAAGTATCAGGGGGTAGCCGTGTTAGTCTGTATCTACAAAAACAACAAGGAGTCTGGTGGCACCTTAAAGACTAACAGATTTATTTGGGCATAAGCTTTCATGGGTAAAAACCTCACTTCTTCAGATGCATAGAAGTGAGGTTTTTACCCACGAAAGCTTATGCCCAAATAAATCTGTTAGTCTTTAAGGTGCCACCAGACTCCTTGTTATGAAAGGAAATGGGAATCTTGATCACTTTTGTGCTATTCACCCCTTTAACTCTTCCAAACTACAGCTGGAAAGGAAGTGGAGGACAACATCCTTAAAACAGCTCAGTTCTTCCTCTTGGGAAGAATAGTTTCTAAGAGAAAAATGTCCTTGCCAAATTACAACTTCAGAACTAGGGATATAACCTTGAAACTTCTCCCTTCCAACCGTGTAGAGGTGTCTCTGGAAGAGACTCAGCTGAGGTGGAGGAAGCAGAAGTCCCAAACTCTGGGCCCTTTTCTCTGACATTGTGAGGGTCCACAGGCTGGGAGCAATCTTGGTAGAGCTCCCTTTCTGTGGCTCCTGAAAGGGTCTGCTTCTACAGACAAAAGGTAGTCCAGTGGCTAGGGCACTAGCCTGGGACTAAGGAGGCCAGTATTCAAATTCCTGTTCTGCTACAAGCTTCCACTGCAGGCTATTCTCTCTGTGCCTCCGTTCCCTATCTGTAAAATGGCAGGAAATAGCACCTTGCAGGAGTGTTGTGAGGATAAGTATATTAAAGGTGTGTGTGAGGTACTCAGATACTACAATACTGAGAGCCACGTAAGTACCTAACATACCTAGAGAGCCCCTCTTGGTCTTCAGCTTTCTCCATTTGGCCTGCTCATCCTGACAAGTGATAGAGAGA